TATCCTGATAAATTGTGTCTCCTGGATAGAGTGAATTTAATTGTGGTTGGATGAGAAGTGTAAATGTATTCTGACACCCTAGCTGCACGCCGCTAGAAAAAACATTTTTTGGAGAAGTCACCTCCCAATAAATGTCATTTTGAAAATCTAACTGCTCACTTTTACTCAGTACTGTTACTTTTTATACTTAAGTAGATTTTGTGTCAGAAATTTAAGTACAAAAAATATCAGATACTTTAAGACTTTTACTCAAGTAATATTTTTAGAGAAGACTTAAACTTTTACCAACGTATTTTTATGATAAGACACTTGTACTTTTACTCAAACATCACTTTGAGGTACTTTATACAACACTGGTATTATTTATATTTGTTTGTGGAGTTCAGCCTGTTTGTTTTTGACATCAAGGTTTGCAGTTTTGTGCTGAAGAGTTATTTATCTGTGGTGCCGAGCTTCCTGTGGTTTTAACCAGAAACCACAGCATCTTTGATGCTTCCTCTGATCTGAACAAGATGGAAGACAAACATTTCTGATTCTATAGAAGAGAAGATAAACATCTTGCATAAATTGTTTGAGCTGGTGTGTCTTGTTAGCAAATCATCTCATAAACCACTAGGTTCATTTTAATGAAACTCACAGGAAGTAATCCCTTTTGAATTCAGCTCAATTCAAGATGGCCGCCACGGCTAAATGCCCTTGAAAAAGCACAAAATGGCTGAAGAATGAGCTAAAATCAGGTATGGTAGTAACCAAAGGTGTCAAGTWATAAATTAAAAATACTTTATTTACTTATATAGAAATTTTCTTTTTCATAAAATTGTTTACTTACATCTTCAGGCAATCATCTTTGCTTTCTACTATTGCATTTAAAAAATGCAAAAATTATTTAATTTATATTTTATTTCAGCTTGTTTTTATTCAGGCTTGCCATTGTTCAGAAATAAATGCAAGTATAAATACTATCCAGAGCTCTGGAAAAATTAAGAGACCACTTTAAAATGATCAGTTTCTATGATTTTACTCTTAATGTTTGAGTAAAATGAACATTGTCACTTTATTCTATGAACTACTGATAACATGTCTCTGAAATTCCAAACAGTTTAGTATTTCTTTGCAGAAAATGAGAAATGATCAAAATGATGACAAAGATTCAGTGCTTTCAGACCTCAAATAATGCACAGAAAACAAGGTGATATTCATTTAGAAACAACGTTTTAACTCRGGAAGAGTTCAGAAATCAATATTTGGTTGAATGCTTTCATTCAAATACAGGGAAACAGTGCAGTGGTCTCTTAATTTTTTTCCAGATCTTTATATGCGTGTTGCCTCCTGGATAAAGTGAATTTAATTGTGGTTGGATGAGAAGTATAAAATACCATTCTGACAGCCTGTTGATTTGTACGATCTATCACACCTGTAGCATGAAGATGAGTGTGACAGAGATATACAAGTATGCAGCTGAAACAGGTGCATCCCAAATTATTTTATTATGTTATAGTCATTATTTTTACAGAAGTGCTTTTTGTGGAGGTGGTTGTACTCTAAGCTTTTATCCTTAATGGCTTTTTTTCCTCTATACTTTTACTTTTATACTTTAAGTAAGTTTAAAACTATTACTTTTACACTTTTATTTGAGTAAAACGCTTGAGTTGATACTTCTACTTCATAAAATGGAGTTTAAACGAAAATTCAACTCTGGAAGACTATGGCCTCACCTGCTCCCGCTGATCTCCACATCTCAAGCTCAGCTGTGTGCAATCACAATCCCAGCCTCATCCAATCAGCTCCTGTCTACCAGTGCATAAATACYAGTCATCTCAAYCGCCCCGTCTGCATGCCAGCTGACCRTCAACCTACCACCACCCCTCCTCCACCCTTTATCTTCTGAAGAGGGTGCACTTGATCCAGTTGCATGCCTCTTTCCAGTCCTCTAACCCAGCTGGTCGAGGCAGAAGGCCTCCTGCCCTGAGCCTGGTTCTGCCGGAGGTTTCATCCTGTTATCAGGGAGTTTTTCCTCTCCACTGTCGCTCAGGATGGGAGTCTGTGATGAACTGATTCAACACAACCTGCTGGCTTCCTCTTTGAATTATTTATTTTTGACCTCCACCACCAGTGTCGGGCCCCAGGGGGATGAAATCTCCTTCCCCTAACTCAAAGCATCTCGTATGAGATTTCAGCTTCACTCAGCGCTCTCGTCCTCTGCCGGGGTCGAGCGCCAAACTCCAATGCCATTGATGTCAGTAACCATGTGGTCCAGTCATGTCAATAAACCTCCTAATTCCAGTCTGTCTTGTGAGTCTTTCCAGGTTGGACTGTATTTTTAACCCCTACATCTATTTTAAGTAATAAATGCTAACACACGTCAAACCCCTTCTGACTTTTATATGTTGCTAAACCCTCAAAAATCAATAATTTTCATTAAAAAAATCCATATTACTCAATGTAATACGAAGCGGGGACTTCAAGCAGACTGTCGGCCGTGGGAAAAGAATGGGGCGGAGATAACAGCACAGAGGAGCAGGGAGAGGTGGGGAACTTATAGCAGGAGGGTGGGTTAGGAGATGGTTATTTTATTTTATTTATGTGTTTTTTTTACATCCTACATGCTCTGAGACATGAAATAAATTCGAAACTGAATTTTGGAAAAAAAAATCTGTGAGTTTTCTTAATACATACGTTTACGTGCAAAATGGGGGAAAAACTGTGTAATTTATGAACAATCCTGACATGCATGATGACAGTTTGTGGAAAAATGTCATTTCACATTTCGCCATTAACTATAGGAAGTCAGTTCTATCTGCAAAATATCTCATGAATCACTAGACGAATTTAATGAAACTTGCTGTGGAAACAGGGGCGGAGCCAGAGGGGTGGTCAGGATGGCAAGTGCCACCCCTGGCACCTGATTGGCCGACCCAAGTGCCACCCCCAATCGATTGACAAGTGGGGGTGGGGGTCTCATTTAGAGATAAACATGGCCWGTTAGAGCTAACACAAAGTAAATATCTGCCATGAAGCTGTATTATCTAGTGTAGACGGAACATGAAGAAAATAATAACTTTTCTAAACCACTGATTTAATATAAAGCAACAATTCCACCTCACCGAATTTCAGCGCAATATATATATAAATGTCGATAGATTTTAGGCATTTCTTTAGCTTTGATGGACATCTTGGATTCTTTATTTGATTTTAGTATCTGTTGGGTATCGCTGTCAGATACCACAACACAAAATTTTAGCTTAATTAGTCTTGAAATGGCTAAATTACAGCCATGTAAACTTATGGTGGACATTTTAAATTTTCAAATTGTTTTCTTTGTTTATACATGCCCCTCCCCCCCTACATAACACCTGTACCACCCCTTGCAAAAAAGTCTAGCTCCGCCCGTGTGGAAAACACAAAAAATGGCTGGTTTAATTCATTTGACAAAAATTGGGCTAAATTTGGTTTGGCTGTAGCTAAGAGTCACTCACAACACAAACATCGAGAACTTATCCTTCAATGCTCAGAGTGTTAGCATAATAATAATAATACTATCTCACAAATCACTGGATAGGTTTTGACTAAACTTTCAGGAAGTAATTATAATTATTTTTTTTCCTGAATTCTTAATTTTTTGTTTTGGTTTTAATCAGTCAGCACATGATTTGTTAAAAGAGTGTAAAATGAGGAAATGAGAAAATAAACGATGGATCATTTGCAAAAGTTTTGCATTTATTTGTAATATTTTAAAAYGTTCTCAGTACAAAAATAGAAAGCTTATAATGGATCTCTTCGGCGGACCTTTCGTCAGGGCCTCCCACGAGTTCTCACAGGTTTCTGGTTCTCCTTCTCCATCATGATGTTCTTCACCCACTCCTGAGACGGCTCCACACATACCCTCTCCAGTTTCTTGCCTTTCTTCTTCACAAAGCTGAAACAGAAACCAGAAATTCAAGTAAATCTATCTGCACGCATACTTTACTTTTACTTCTTTRTGGCATGTATTTATTCAAAGATTTAGATGTGAGAGCACAAATWTGATTCTGAACTAAGCAGAAAAGTGAGGAGACACTTACATCACACCYTCCATCGGACACAGGGGTTCTGTTTTGTGGACTCTCACCACTTGGCTCGTAATCAGAGGTGTAGAGGAAAACCCAAAGCAGCACAAGTTTGGATTGTGGCTGCCTGAAACTATAACGAAGACAGAAATTAGGTTAAAAATCAACACAAAAATCATCACACAAGTTGTTTTTAATGTTTTTTTATACAACATACTTAAATCAACTTTGTTTTTTACCCTGTACTACTTACAACTTTAATTTTTTCTTATTTGTAATATTCACTAAAGTGCGCTACAGTTTTGTTATCTATATGGATTTCAGTGTGGATAACAAAACAAGATATATTTAATTATTAAAAAAATAAAAGTAGTATTCTACACTGAGCTTACTTTCTTTGACCAAAATGGCAAGAGATGAGAAAAGCAAGAGGCAGGTGGCCATAGTGACGGGGCTCTTCATCATCATCATCATCTTCTCGTCTGTTGTCTGTCAGAGCTGCTCGCTTGTCCAACCGGGTGTCTTCAGTCCTCTGCCCTGTTTGCTCTCTGCACAGCCTTCCACTTTTATTGTGCTGCTTCCCGTGTGTGTGTGTGTGTGTGTGTGTGTGTGTGTGTGTGTGTGTGTGTGTGTGTGTGTGTGTGTGTGTGTGTGTGTGTGTGTGTGTGTGTGTGTGTGTGTGTGTGCGTGTGCGTGTGCGTGTGTGGGCAAACCTGTTCCATGACGAAACAGAGACCGTGATCTGTAACTGTCTTACCTGCAAACAACCTGCGGTCATGTGGTCACTGCTTCTCAAAAAGCAGGAGGCAGAGGGGAGGAGGGGGGACAAGATGCTGTGGTGAGACAGAAAACATCTCATCGCTGCTTCAGTTCCTTTATTCAAATGTGTGTGTGTGTGTGTGTGTTTATGCATGAGCATTTTTGCACATTTGTGCAGATGCACTGTGGCTTATTGCAGCTTCTCTACCTGTTTCTGCTTATACGTGTTCCTTATGGTTTCAGCTGGTGTTGGAGAAATGTCAGAAGTTTTATTTGAAACCTGCTGCACTACAAATGAATCATTCCTTAAATGGATTGTGTTGTGGTTTGGGTTGAATGTTTTTTAGTTATTTTATCAGTTTAGTGTGCAACACGCTCTAATAGGCAATACAGTGTTTTATGTTGAGCGAGGAGAAAAACATAAAAAAGAGAAAATAACACATCCTTTCAAGAAGTATTCAGCTTGAATGCTGACGAAGAGGTTTGCAGACTGAGGTGACAGAAAGTGAAGGGACGAATGTAGGAGGATGTGGCGAATGGTTAGCCCCCTTATCAGAAAAACCACAACATAAATTTCCATTTCTACGTTGCTCAGGTGGAGCAAAAAGTTTTTATTGTTAAGTTATTATCTACTTAATAGATCGAGATTTCCCACTCTTCAGTGTCAGCATTCAATCTAAAAAAAAAAAAAACTACAGCTGTTTCCTTCACTTGTAATCTTTGAGTAGCCACACCAGGAAAGCCATTTGGTCCTCATGTTTGGTCTGGACCAAAAGCAGACTTTAATTTGTTTTGTTTTTGTTAGGTGAGATTTACATTGTGCTTTTTTGCAAGCGGACTATWATTGATAAGCAAAGCCACCCGGGTGACCATCATGTACAAGTCTTAACCACTAAGTTTGAAACAGAAATTATACGTTTATTCAAAAAATTTGATCCAACCTGACATCTTCTGTTTCAAATATCTATTTTCATGCCATTATACTCTCAACCATGTCGTACTGTTTACCTGTTTGGTCTCTTACAACAAATGAAAYCTTAGAGCCCATAGTTAGGCTCTACAACAGGGCCTACAAAATTCATAAAAAACTTCCTGGTTGGACTCATCTATATCTCTAAACTTTTTGTGGCATACAATGATGGCATGAGGCTACTACTCAGAGTGCCTAGATGGAGCAGTGCTAGCCACGTGTTTGTACAGAATGCTGTCCCCACATGTGCAGCTGTGCTCAGCAACCTCATGTATAAATGCATGTCTAGGTTATCTGTGTCATGCAATAATGTAACTGCAGTTTTAGTAAATCCTGTTTTTAGTACAGTGAGATTTTTCTCAAGATTGTGGAAACATTGGGATCATCATTTATTTGTGACTCAGTGAATATGTCATGTTTATTTTTATTCTTTCTCTTATTTTGTTTTTACTTTTTTTTTCTGCTATGGACCTTTACCAAAAGAAGGTAAAACAAATCAGTTCTGGATGTAGAGTTTCATTCAAATACATCTAGTTCAATCTAGTGTGATCAGTTAGAGCTAGGGGTGTGCGTATCCATCTAAATRTCGATAGTATCAATAGAAAGTATTTTATGCTCTGTTGGTGACATTTATACTTTTATTTTTGTTACGTTCTTGATATTTTGTCTCATTTTTGTACTGATGACTTTATTTTTCTTAAATTGTACAAAGTAGAAGATAAAAGAGGAATTATTTTTCTTATTTTTATACTGTTGCATTTTATATTGCTGTAGTTAATAGAAAACATTTTTTCCTAAAATGTTTATTATGTGTTATATCATAATTGACTAATTAAATCATAAAATTATTCAATGAACAATACATTTCAATTAAAAAGTGACGTATCAGCGATATTAGTCCTGTATTTACTTGGTATCGGATTAACACCAAAGTTCACRGTAAGTTTGGGATCAATCTCAACTAATACCACATTATATTTTAGCTCAATTTATTTAAAATTCATCAAGTTCTTGCYTTTTTTTTTTTTWACTCAGACTGATTCTCTGTGCYGGCCATCTTGCTAMCAGTACAGACTAATGTAACATACTGTATTTATTCAGTCGCTGTAAACTGGTTCAGTGCAAATGTATAGTTTGTATTGAAGCTTCAGCAGTTAGTTTAGTTCATGTTTATCGTTAAAGCAAATGACCTGAACCTTTGCAGACCAACTAACGAACAAACATTTTACTTTACTTTTCTTTCTACATRTTACTAACGATCATTTCAAGGTTGTTGAAGAAAAACTTTTGTATAACCGTTAAGTCAATTAGTACTTTTGTCATTCAGGGTACGGTATTACTAACTGTTTTCTACTCAAGTCATACCAATAAGCAACAAGTTATTAGGCATTTATAACTTATGGACAAATGATTTGTCATGTCTGGTTTCACAAAGTCATGAAGACATAACATTTTCTTTTCCTGTACAGGTATGAGAGTGGTAAAAAAAAGTTTAAAAAAAATCCCCCGAAGGCTGACTTCAGCATAAAGTCACCATGTGCCAACTCAAACGGAAACCTGTGGTTTGTATCAGAGGCGGTGGTACGATGCATAAAGCCGATTGTGTAAAAACCAGCAAGGTAAAAAAAAAAAACTAAAATTATATTGAGCTTTATAAATGTCACATCATATGTGTGCAGTTTGTTTAATGAGGAAAACAATCTGCTGACAAGTTGAGAAAGCCAAAAAAATTATTATTTCTTTAAGTCTGTTGTCTTAAATGTCTGAATGTAAAAACAGCTCCTTATTTAGATTGTTTAACTTTATTGAAAACTAAAGGAAATRTAGAAACATGACATCATCTGAGTGAACTGAGGTTTGCTGGAAAGAGTAAAATGGAAATTCTGCTGTGTGTGTGTGTGTGTGGAGGGGGGGTGAGTAGGACGAGGAAACATCAGACAGCGGCACATTTACCACCACAAACCAACCATCCTAACCACTTTGTTCTGCTTGAGTCCTGCTGGAATAAACTGATCTGAGGTTAGATTTTTTACAAGCAGTATGATGGCAGGGCTGTCAGTTTTCAAAACAAGATAATCTCAGTTTAAAACGTTAGCATGAAAGGTTGTGTGAGATTTGACGTACTTTTAAATTTGATTTTATTGCTGACTGGTTTGTTTCAAATTCTATACAGGTGCTGGTCATAAAATTAGAGTATCATGAAAAATTAGATTTATTTCAGTAATTCCATTTAAAAAG